TATAAATGATGTTATAATGTATAGAATAATGCAGTTTAATGACTGTACCCACTGTCCTTTAAATAACAGTCACATTGTGAAACCTACAATATAACCCAATGTATTTGACTGTTACTGGCTCAGATAAGTATGTATATTAGATTGTAATGTGTATGGAACAATGGAATTATTCATGAGTTTTATTTGATTTGATATCTGCATTAAATATCGACCATCAGCCGCCCTGCTCTCTAAATATCAGCATTAACCATTAAAACCATATCAGTCCACCACTAATACTGTACTAATGAAATATTTTAATATCAGTGTTTAATGATTCTGTAACAGGAAGTGTAAATATGATGTTTGTCTCTGCAGGAGAGTCTAATGTGATTGGCTCAGACAAACCAGTTACAGTAACAGTCGGTGATAACGTCATCCTGCCATGTCACCTGGAGCCTCCATTCGATGTGACGACTCTAACAGTGGAGTGGATGCGTGATAGAGAATATGTGCATGTCTATAGAAGTACGAAGGATGATCCAGGTTCTCAGGAAAAGAACTTCAGAGGTAGAACATTTCTCTTCCATGAAGAAATGATCAGAGGAAACATTTCACTAAAACTGACCAACGTAACTGAACTGGATGCTGGAAGTTACACCTGCAATGTTCCCAAACTGGAAAGTCAGGTCAGGAAAGGCTTCATTAACCTCACTGTTGGTGAGTACAGCTAACATATTACACATTCAAATGAAATAAGAGGAAATGTTTTTAGCTCTTAAACACAGTTTACACATTTACAATTTAACACAATTGTCCAACAGAGCCAGTGGAGAACAGGAACAAAGGAGGTCAGACTGATGATATCAGTAAGTAAATATCTTATTTGTCTCCTCATCAGCTGTCATCTCCTGTTGGTCTGAATGTTATCACATATTTTAATATTTAATTTCATTGTTTCCACAGACACAGAGCCAGGTAAGTGCTGTCTTTACTGCAGTCCACAATGTACACAGATATCACTCCTGTTTCTCTCCTCCTCAATATGAACCTGAGAATGAGCATAATATGACCTCTTTAACCTCAAAAGTAATCAGAGTAATTCTGAATGTAATGCTTCATTTGACAGGACGCCATTATAACAAATAATGAACTCATTCATCATCTCAGACCACACTGATAGAGGGACTACTGAAAGGTCCAGTGTGTAACATTCAGGAGGATCTATTGTCACCGCCATGTTTCTACAGTAGTCCAGAACACATTTGGAAGTTTTATTCACATGTTTGCAATCTGTAACTTCACCACTAGATGGCACTGAATCCTCCACAGCGGTCCTTTAAATAACCCTGGATCCTCGTATTTCTGGAGAATATTCTCACTGATAATACTGTTTGTTTACTGTTGTGCAATGAAAGAGATTCTAACCAACAGACAGTTTTGGTGGGATGGACTCCAAGTACACATTGAGACCATGAACAGGAGAAGTGGCTGTGGAAATATTGTTGATGGATGTTATCTTGGAACAGTGAAGAACAAATCTCAACATCTTTCCTCTGTTCTTTCAGGTCGTGGCAATGATAATAACACTGGTGCTAAAATTGGCGTTGGTGTCATTGCTGTCATTGCTGTCATTGCTGTCATTGTTGCATTGGCTGTATGGAAGAATCATAGAAATAGAAGTAAGTCAATAATCTTCTCTCTCTCCATTTTCTCCATTTAAAAAGACAGTTTTCAGTTTTTCAGTCTGTCTTCAAACAACAGTGAACAGTGAAACAGGTTTTTCTTGCTGTAATGGTTCCTCCTGTTATACTGGACATTAAAGATCTCTTCCTAAAGTACTTTCAATGGAAGTGATGAGGGGAACAATCTACAGTCCTCCTTACATGGAAACATGTTTTCAGAAGTGTATCTAAAGCTAATATCAGCTAATATGTGTTTATAACTCCATCATTTATTTAGAAATCATTTATTGGGGGTCTGCACCCTGCCTCTTATGTACAGTGTGTCTGAGCTTTCTCACTATCCTGCTGTCTGATTATGATGGTTGATCTGGGACAAGCTCCTTTACTTGTAGTTCCTCACTGTCAATAACAACAAGTGTCATCACTCCACTGCTGACTGACTCTGCTTGGGCTGATAAAATAATCGCCCTTTTACATCCTATTCTCACTTTTCCTCTAAACTCAACCCAGAGCACTCAAACTACAGAAAACACTCAGTTTGGAAATCACTGACTGATAACTTGTTTTGTGTTGTTGATATGTGTTCAGGAGGACAAGAGAGAGAATATCGTCCTCTACGGATGGACAATGATGCGGTCACTATACCAATGCCCAACATAAATACCAGTAAGTCCCAAATGTCTTCTATCAGCATGTTTTTCAAATAAATGTTTCCTGTCTCTGATTCCTGTATCAGTGTACGTTCTATCTGCCCCTGCTGTTTCAGTGAGTAAGCACACAAACATTCACATTCATCTATCTGACCTTTCTGCTGTACCAGTTAGAAGCCTCTCATGTACAGTGTGTCTGAGCTTTCTCACTATCCTGTTGTCTGATTATGATGGTTGATCTGGGACAAGCTCCTTTACTTGTAGTTCCTCACTGTCAATAACAACAAGTGTCATCACTCCACTGCTGACTGACTCTGCTTGGGCTGATAAAATAATCGCCCTTTTCACTGACTGATAACTTGTTTTGTGTTGTTGATATGTGTTCAGGAGGACAAGGGGCCAATGCTGGAGCCAATGCTGGAGCCAATGTTGGGGCCAATGCTGGAGCCAATGTTGGGGTCAATGCTGGGGGCAATGCTGGGGCCAGTGACGGGGCCAATGTTGGGGCCAATATGTGGGTCAGTGATGGGGCCAGTGATGGGGCCAATGTTGGGGCCAATATGGGGGGCCAATGCTGGGACCAGTGTTGGGGCCAATGTTGGGGCCAATATGGGGGCCAGTGATAGGGCAAATATTGGGGCGAATATGGGGGCCAGTGATGGGGCAAGTGATAGGGCCAGTGATGAGCACAATGATGGGGCCAGTGCTGGGGCCAATGTTGGGGCCAATGCTGGTGCCAATGGTGGGGCCTGTGCTGGGGCCAGTGATGAGCACAATGATGGGGCCAGTGCTGGGGCCAATGATGGGGCTAATGCCGGGGCCAATGATGGGGCCAATGTTGGGGCCAGTGATGAGGAATGTCAACTAGCATTTGATGATGACTCTTGATTGTTTGACCCAAATACTGAATGAAAGAAAGTCTTTTAGTCCATCCACATATATTTATCAGGTGTGTTATGAGTTATTATTATTATCATTATTACTATTAACTCTATTATCTTTTTATTCTGGTGTCAAACTCATTAGATAAACATTGGTTTTCAAAGCTTGGTTAACAGGTAGAAGGTAGTGTTCTTCTGTTTGACCTCATGATGGTGCTGTTTTCTGTACCATCAGTAAAATCTACTTAAAGTATCAAATGTAGACACCAAGGTCTCATTGTGCAGTAAAATGGTCCCTGTCAGTGTCTGACTGTTATATCTGATGTTTGGGATTAATGTCATGTTAATGTTGCATTGTAACTCCTTCATACACTGTCGCTGTCCTATGAGAACCACGTATCTGTAAAAAGACCAAAAAACAGCCTGTTTTCAGCGTTGTGACGACGCATTTTCCAGATAATCCAAGATAATTGAGTGCACACAGACAACAAGCAACTGACCTGTGATTACTGTCAGTATGAGAGTTTACGGTAGGCTGTATGTGTAAGATATTACAGGATAAACATTAAATAGAACGAGACGCTAAAAAAAAATTAAGTTTTTTTTTATCATATTCATCATTTTTTGTATTTGTTATTGTTGATGATAATTGGTCATTGTGATATATGGATTAATCTGCAGAGGTCAGAAGTGACAAAATACAATCTCTATCTATTATTATATTATTTATTTTTCTGATAGCTTTTTACCTTCTATTTGTTCACACAAATAATTGAACTTACTACTCCTTACAGTTAAAAAAAAAAAAAGGTTAAATCATTTTATGCATCATAGCATGCCTTCCATGATGAAACAGACAAGAAAGGAAGAAGGTTCAGTTAGCTTTGCACTTTTATACTTTACATTTCAGAGCCTGTACGTTTTACTTGAGTAAAGAAGTTGAATCAGTACTCCTACTTTTACTGTGTGTGCTGTGTTTTACTGAGTGTTTTTTACCTTTGGTGCCTTTGCCAGCTCTGCATGTGGGTCACAGCAGGGTTAGCAACGTTTGAAGAAACAAATATTCTTGATTAAAATGCAGCTGCAGGGAATTGTTCAGATGTGTTGATTTTATAAACCACTGCAGGGACAGAGTCGATGTCTCTGTCCAATGCAGTTTTTATTGTTTTTTTTATTGTGTTGTTTTGCTTCAAGTTATCTTGTTTTTCTGCCCTGTGAAGAACTTCAGTTTACTGTATATAAAATGTCTGTTTTTATTATAAAACCTTTTGATTTGGTCAAATATTCACAGCTAAACTCACATTGGACACTGGAAGGATGAAACTGTGATTGTTGTTTGTTAATAAAAAGATTTGTAGACTTGTAAATTACCATTTGTTCTTATTTGGTCTGAATGGAAAAGTAAGAAGAAAATCAAAGTCAGTGTGAGTTTGTTAGAACTTCATTGTGTATAACTCTCAGTAATTAATAGTAGAATATTTAAAGGATATTAATGTTCATTTCTCAATGCACAAACAGAATGATGCTACCTGAACAACATGAACCTGCAATAGTTCAATGTATTACTGTATGTGAGAGTGTACCACTGTAGCTCCAACCTTTTCATTTGTCTACAACAATAATCCATCACCATTGTCTTCCTCTCAGTGGCTGCTCTCAGATCAGCTTTGGTGAGCAGTTCTGTTTTCAGTGTTTGTCTGTGAAACAACGTTCAGTTAGAAAGCACAAGGAAGAGTTTTACAGTTTTCATCAACATTGTAGTTGTTCAAAAGGGAAAAAAGACAACAACAACAAACAACATCCCAGAGGTTACAAACATTAATACACTTTGAGATGCAACTGTCAATCAATTATTCAAATCAATACATTAAATAATCAAAAATAGAATAGAAAACTGGGTTCAAATCAACCAGTCGAACACTAAAATACTAAACAAATAAATATTCTTCAAACTGTCTCTTATTAATACAATCTTTAATAAGTAGACTGCTGTGCGTAATTGGTTTGTAGCCAAATGGACAAACAGTGATCCATCGGCTGAAACTGAAATGGAAGTAAGAAGAAGAAAATGTCCTTCATTAATCCTCAATGGGGAGATTCTTGTTTCCTTGTCTCCAAATACAATCGTGGACACACAGGGTTAATAGACATGTGACTGAGGAGTGATGGGCCTCCAGCAACAGTTAGGGGTTAGGTGACAGCTCAGCAGTGCACAGGAGGTGGAACGCTGTCTTAGTCATTATCCGGGGGGGTCAGAGTCCGCTGAGAAATTAGACGTTAAAAATATGTTTTATGTCTATTATGTGTCTATTTCTCATTGGGCTTATTCAGGGTTGTAAAGTTAAACCTCCTCCTTTCAACTCATCTCCACCAGGTTCAGCTAAACTCTAATCTAGGTCTTTTAGATACTGAGTGCTGAATAAATACAAACAGATGGTCAACTGGAATCAAGTAAATGTATTTAAGATATTGAGAAAATTGAAGGAAAAAATTACATCCTAACAATTTATATTGCCTCACGTTTGAGATTTTATATTTCCTTTTCTTCAGTAGGTTAGCTAAAACTATTTTACCGTACTCTAGTTAATTTAAGGGAAAGTCTGTTTCATTTACATTATAGTAATCACAATGTCTTCATATTTGAATGGTCATATTTCACTTTTTTAGTAAGTTGGCTAAATCGTTCAGTGGAATCCTGTATAGGATGACCTCCACTGTACTCATGGGAGATTTGGACTGATTTTATTGTAAAATTACAAGTCTCCTCCCACCTGGATAACTGCCACTGCTCTCTAAACCAGTCCCCCCAGGATTATAAAGCTCCACACTTCAGATCAGATTTCCTTCTTTTCCCTTCCAAACCTCACCAAGAAGAACAAAGAGAACCTGCTAAAGGATTCTATGTTAAGAAGAAAAGAGAAAATAAGCTCAGATTGTGGATCCATTAATGATGTAAGTCAAATGATCTAACTTATTTATTAGTAGTAGTTTTGTTTGCTTTTAATTATTCAGATTTGTAACATTTCTTCAATATTCTTTTTGCGTGGAAAAAATCAATCATCCACATCCATCAAACACCTGTGCAAACAGTAACCAACCCACTGACTGTAATAAACTGTTGATCCTGTGTTTCTGTGTGCACACCACATAGGATGTTCAGTGAGCCAATGCAATAGCTTTTTCATTTATTATATGGTTTTGGAGAAAATTAAAGGAACAACAGGCTCAAATTACATTATAAGAATCATATTGTAATTCTTATTTTTTAAAGGAAAGTTGGCTCCGTTTTCATTTAAAAATCATTATGGCCTTAAATTTGAACAGCCCTTCCTGAGAAGGTTAGCCAAAACTTTCAGTGTTTTTTGTTTCTAGCCAATGAAAAGCCTCACTGGCTGCAAAAATACTATGTGAGTCAACACTAAAACACCAAAATAAAGTAGACAATGAAAAAAAGAAATGAGCTCTAGAAATATTCTCCTCCACAGTTCATTGTGTGGGAAACAACCAGCTGCTCTGGTTTAAATTGTGTCTCTAAGAGAGGCGAATATGTTGCACATGTTGTAGAAATTCATTAACTAATACATTTTAATATTTAATATACAATGATATAAATGACATCTTCAGAATATTGTGCTTTCTTGTAGAACTTAAATGTTAAAGGTGCCTTCCTACAGGATGACATTAACAGTAGTGGCCCCAAGAAGTTTGGGACCCCTGGTTCATAGACCCTCCTTACCATAGTAACCCTACTTAAGGCCCAACGAAAGACATGAAGTTTCTTCTGCTGTTGATGTGTCTCTGTCTGACAGACGATGGTGAGTCCACTGAGCAATTTATGTTGTTATATCTATTATATTTCTATTTGTCTGTAGACGTTTGGTTTGGATTGTTGAAAGTGTTTTTAAGTTCTTCTTAAATCTGAATGGGTTGATGAGGCAGGGATGCCTGAACTACTTTAATCTGCTCAGTCTGACAAATAGTTTTTCTTCCGTTTATATTTCTGTGTTCATTTAAAGAGGTGTGTTCTTTGTGTGTGTGTGTTGTGTTTATGTGGTTACAGTGTGTATCGGTGTGTATAACTGTGTGTGTGTGTGTGTGTGTGTGTGTGTGTGTGTGGTGGAAGAATAGCTGATGCTTGTGCTGGGGTTTATTCTACTTGTCAAAATGCTAAAAGGGGAGATTTTATTCTCTTTTATTATTACTCATTTGTCTGTAGGCGTTGGGTATCAAGTTTTTCAGGATTGAAAAGTGAAAGTGTTAGTAGAGGTCAAATCTTATCATCCATCAGTAACATCTGTTGCATTTAGACGTTGAACCTTCCTCTTTTTAGCTCAACTCTTTAACCTACAGGTCTTTTAGACATTGAATAAATGACACAGATGACCAACTGCAATCAAAGAAATGTATGGATCATTGTACAACACAAGGTTGTGTAATAAAATGATACTCACACAGAAAAAGACCATTAGAGTTAAGACTGTGTGTTATGTGCATAAATATCATGGGAACATGAACATATTTTGCTCTGTCCTTTATTTTGAAGGGTGTTGATGAGACAGTAATGCAGAATAAGCTTTTCACTGTTTACCCAAAAAACACTTGAAATCTTTTCATCTATCCTCTAGTTGAGCTGAGTTTAAATACAGAGTCTGTGTCTTTGGCCAGTTGAGTAACAACAGTCTGTTCATCAAAAACCTTTAATTTAACAATATCTGATGTTTGATTACCAGTAATTCTACAGCTTCTGAAAGTACAGGTGAGTTGGAGCAGGTGGTTTAATGCTTGTTCCAGCATGTAAGAATAAAACCATTGTCAACACTGGTGGGCAAAGTTCCCCCTCCCTCGTCTCCAGAGGTGCAGCTGGACTTTTGATGATATGTATTTTGACCTAACTGCTGTTTCTTGTTTGTTCTTTTGTTTTCCTCACAGCAAACTCACAGTTGATTTGTTCACGTCAACCAATCACAGCCCTGGCTGGTGATGATGTCATTCTACCATGTCACCTTGAACCTCCCATCAGTGTTTCTGATGAGACAGTGGAGTGGACCAGACCTGATTTAGACCCAAAGTACATCCATGTTCACCAGGATGGACGACTGATGTTTGACTATCAAAATCCATCTTATTATCTCCGCACAAGACTGTTTATGGATGAACTGATGACAGGAAACGTATCCATGAAAATCTACAAAGTGAAAGTTTCTGATACAGGAAGATACCAATGTGCCCTTCCCTCATTACAGAAGGAAGCTTCCATCCAGCTCATTGTTGGTAAGTCAGACTGGAACTTTCTTACAGATGTGTAAAGGCTTTACTGTGTACAAATAAAACACCTTTAAAAATAAATTCTCAATTCAGACCATATTGAGAAACAACATGTTCAGTGATTCTGTAACAGGAAGTGTAAATATGATGTTTGTCTCTGCAGGACAGTCTGATGTGATTGGCTCAGACAAACCAGTTACAGTAACAGTTGGTGATAATGCCATCCTGCCATGTCACCTGGAGCCTGCGTTCAATGTGAGGAGTCTATTGGTGGAGTGGAAACACAATGGAAAATATGTGCTGGTCACTCGACATGGGAAGGACTATCTAGATCCTCAGGATGAGAACTTCAGAGGTAGAACATCTGTCTTCCATGAAGAAATGATCAGAGGAAACATTTCACTAAAACTGACCAACGTAACTGAACTGGATGCTGGAAGTTACACCTGCTTTGTTCCCGGACTGCAAAGTCAGGTCAGGAGAGGCTTCATTAACCTCACTGTTGGTGAGTACAGCTAACATATTACACATTCAAATGAAATAAGAGAAAATGTTTTTAGCTCTTAAACACAGTTTACACATTTACAATTTGACACAATTGTCCAACAGAGCCAGTGGAGAACGGGAACAAAGAAAGTCAGACTGATGATATCAGTAAGTAAATATCTTATTTGTCTCCTCATCAGCTGTCATCTCCTGTTGGTCTGAATGTTATCACATATTTTAATATTTTATTTCATTGTTTCCACAGACACAGAGCCAGGTAAGTGCTGTCTTTACTGCAGTCCACAATGTACACAGATATCACTCCTGTTTCTCTCCTCCTTACAATATGAACCTGAGAATGAGCATAATATGACCTCTTTAACCTCAAAAGTAATCAGAGCAATTCTGAATGTAATGCTTCATTTGACAGGATGCCATTATAACAAATAATGAACTCATTCATCATCTCAGACCACACTGATAGAGGACTACTGAAAGGTCCAGTGTGTAACATTCAGGAGGATCTATTGTCACCGCCATGTTTCTACAGTAGCCCAGAACACATTTGGAAGTTTTATTCACTTGTTTGCAATCTGTAACTTCACCACTAGATGGCACTGAATCCTCCACAGCGGTCCTTTAAATAACCCTGGATCCTCTATTTCTGGAGAATATTCTCACTGATAATACTGTTTGTTTACTGTTGTGCAATGAAAGAGATTCTAACCAACAGACAGTTTTGGTGGGATGGACTCCAAGTACACATTGAGACCATGAACAGGAGAAGTGGCTGTGGAAATATTGTTGATGGATGTTATCTTGGAACAGTGAAGAACAAATCTCAACATCTTTCCTCTGTTCTTTCAGGTGGTGACACTGGTAATACCACTGGTGCTATAACTGGCATTGCTATTGGTGTCATTGCTGTCATTGCTGTCATTGCTGGCATTGTTGCATTGGCTGTATTGTGGATGAAACGTAGAAATAGAAGTAAGTCAATAATCTTCTTTCTCTCCATTCTCTCCATTTAAAAAGACAGTTTACAGTTTTTCAGTCAGTCTTCAAACAACAGTGAACAGTGAAACAGGTTTTTCTTGCTGTAATGGTTCCTCCTGTTATACTGGACATTAAAGATCTCTTCCTAAAGTACTTTCAATGGAAGTGATGAGGGGAACAATCTACAGTCCTCCTTACATGGAAACATGTTTTCAGAAGTGTATCTAAAGCTAATATCAGCTATAACTCCATCATTTATTTAGAAATCATTTATTGGGGGGTCTGCACCCTGCCTCATGTCGTGTGTCTGGTTTCTCCTATCCGCGTCTGTTTGTGGTTGTCGGGGCCTCGTGCGGGGGGGCCTCTCATGTACAGTGTGTCTGAGCTTTCTCACTATCCTGCTGTCTGATTATGATGGTTGATCTGGGACAAGCTCCTTTACTTGTAGTTCCTCACTGTCAATAACAACAAGTGTCATCACTCCACTGCTGACTGACTCTGCTTGGGCTGATAAAATAATCTCCCTTTTACATCCTATTCTCACTTTTCCTCTAAACTCAACCCAGAGCGCTCAAACTACAGAAAACACTCAGTTTGGAAATCACTGACTGATAACTTGTTTTGCGTTGTTGATATGTGTTCAACAGGACAAGAGAGAGAATATCGTCCTGTACGGATGGACAATGATGCGGTCACTATACCTATGCCCAACATAAATACCAGTAAGTCCCAAATGTCTTCTATCAGCATGTTTTTCAAATAAATGTTTCCTGTCTCTGATTCCTGTATCAGTGTACGTTCTATCTGCCCCTGCTGTTTCAGTGAGTAAGCACACAAACATTCACATGCATTCATCTATCTGACCTTTCTGCTGAACCAGTTAGAAGCCTCTCATGTACAGTGTGTCTGAGCTTTCTCACTATCCTGCTGTCTGATTATGATGGTTGATCTGGGACAAGCTCCTTTACTTGTAGTTCCTCACTGTCAATAACAACAAGTGTCATCACTCCACTGCTGACTGACTCTGCTTGGGCTGATAAAATAATCTCCCTTTTCACATCCTATTCTCACTTTTCCTCTCAACTCAACCCAGAGCACTCAAACTACAGAAAACACTCAGTTTGGAAATCACTGACTGATAACTTGTTTTGTGTTGTTGATATGTGTTCAGGAGGACAAGGGGCCAATGCTGGAGCCAGTGACGGGGCCAATGTTGGGGCCAATATGGGGGCCAGTGATGGGGCCAGTGATGGGGCCAATGTTGGGGCCAATATGGGGGCCAGTGATGGGGCCAATGCTGGGGCCAATGCTGGGACCAGTGACGGGGCCAATGTTGGGGCCAATATGGGGGCCAGTGATGGGGCCAATGTTGGGGCCAATATGGGGGCCAGTGATGAGGCCAATGCTGGGGCCAATGCTGGGACCAGTGATGGGGTCAATGCTGGGGCCAATATGGGGGGCCAGTGATGGGGCCAATGTTGGGGCCAATATGGGGGCCAGTGATGAGCACAATGATGGGGCCAGTGCTGGGGCCAATGTTGGGGCCAATGCTGGTGCCAATGTTGGGGCCAGTGCTGGGGCCAGTGATGAGCACAATGATGGGGCCAGTGCTGGGGCCAATGCTGGGGCTAATGCTGGGGCCAATGATGGGGCCAATGTTGGGGCCAATGATGGGGCCAGTGACGGGGCCAATGTTGGGGCCAATATAGGGGGCCAGTGATGGGGCCAATGTTGGGGCCAATGTGGGGGCCAGTGATGGGGCAAGTGATAGGGCCAGTGATGAGCACAATGATTGGGCCAGTGCTGGGGCCAATGCTGGGGCTAATGCCGGGGCCAGTGATGAGCACAATGATGGGGCCAGTGCTGGGGCCAATGCTGGGGCTAATGCCGGGGCCAATGATGGGGCCAATGTTGGGGCCAGTGATGAGGAATGTCAACTAGCATTTGATGATGACTGTTGATTCTTTGACCCAGACACTGAATGAAAGAAAGTCTTTTAGTCCATCCACATATATTTATCAGGTGTGTTATGAGTTATTATTATTATCATTATTACTATTAACTCTATTATCTTTTTATTCTGGTGTCAAACTCATTAGATAAACATTGGTTTTCAAAGCTGGGTTAACAGGTAGAAGGTAGTGTTCTTCTGTTTGACCTCATGATGGCGCTGTTTTCTGTACCATCAATAAAATCTACTTAAAGTATCAAATGTAGACACCAAGGTCTCATTGTGCAGTAAAATGGTCCCTGTCAGTGTCTGACTGTTATATCTGATGTTTCGGATTAATGTCATGTTAATGTTGCATTGTAACTCCTTTATACACTGTCGCTGTCCTATGAGAACCACGTATCTGTAAAAAGACCAAAAAACAGCCTGTTTTCAGCGTTGTGACGACGCATTTTCCAGATAATCCAAGATAATTGAGTGTCATACTGTCAGTATGAGAGTTTACGGTAGGCTGTATGTGTAAGATATTACAGGATAAACATTAAATAGAACGAGACGCAAAAAAAATGTTTTTTTTTTATCATATTCATCATTTTTTGTATTTGTTATTGTTGATGATAATTGGTCATTGTGATATATGGATTAATCTGCAGAGGTCAGAAGTGACAAAATACAATCTCTATCTATTATTATATTATTTATTTTTCTGATAGCTTTTTACCTTCTATTTGTTCACACAAATAATTGAACTTTCTACTCCTTACAGTTTAAAAAAAAAAAAGGTTACATCATTTTATTCATCATAGCATGCCTTCCATGATGAAACAGACAAGAAAGGAAGAAGGTTCAGTTAGCTTTGCACTTTTATACTTTACATTTCAGAGCCTGTACGTTTTACTTGAGTAAAGAAGTTGAATCAGTACTCCTACTTTTACTGTGTGTGCTGTGTTTTACTGAGTGTTTTTTACCTTTGGTACCTTTGCCAGCTCTGCATGTGGGTCACAGCAGAGTTAGCAACGTTTGAAGAAACAAATATTCTTGATTAAAATGCAGCTGCAGGGAATTGTTCAGATGTGTTGATTTTATAAACCACTGCAGGGACAGAGTCGATGTCTCTGTCCAATGTCAGTTTTTATTGTTTTTGTTATTGTGTTGTTTCGCTTCAAGTTATCTTGTTTTTTCTGCCCTGTGAAGAACTTCAGTTTACTGTATATAAAATGTCTGTTTTATTATAGAACCTTCTGATTTGGTCAAATATTCACAGCTAAACTCACATTGGACACTGGAAGGATGAAACTGTGATTGTTGTTTGTTAATAAAAAGATTAGTAGACTTGTAATTGACATTTTGTTCTTATTTGGTCTGAAAGGAAAACTAAGAAGTAAATCAAAGTCAGTGTGAGTTTGTTAGAACTTCATTGTGTATAACTCTCAGTAATTAATAGTAGAATATTTAAAGGATATTAATGTTCATTTCTCAATGCACAAACAGAATGATGCTACCTGAACAACATGAAGCTGCAATAGTTCAATGTATTACTGTATGTGAGAGTGTACCACTGTAGCTCCAACCTTTTCATTTGTCTACAACAATAATCCATCACCACTGTCTTCCTCTCAGTGGCTGCTCTCAGATCAGCTTTGGTGAGCAGTTCTGTTTTCAGTGTTTGTCTGTGAAACAACGTTCAGTTAGAAAGCACAAGGAAGACTTTTACACTTTTCTGGCTGGTGATGATGTCATTCTACCATGTCACCTTGAACCTCCCATCAGTGTTTCTGATGAGACAGTGGAGTGGACCAGACCTGATTTAGACCCAAAGTAAATCCACCTTCACCAGGATGGACGACTGATGTTTGACTATCAAAATTCATCTTATTTTCTCCGTACGAGACTGTTTGTGGATGGACTGATGACAGGAAACGTCTCCTGGAGGTTCAGCTCCTCAACCTTTAGAGATGAACCTGTACTGATCCCCAGATGGACTGTGAGTCTGAGTCTGAGGAGTAACACGTACATTGACCTGTGTGAGGGAGTGTAACAGTTGTTTGTAAAGGTTGAGCTGTGCATTGCAAATGCTGCTCTTATAATTCAAGATAATACTGAATCATGAATCTGTCACAGATTCATCTTGTAAGAAAATGTAATGAAAATAGGTTTTCTGATTGATTGTCGGGGCGGATCTTGTTAAAACAGGACTCAAAAGCACGACTCATAACACAGAGATTCAGTTGAATTAGGGATGGGGCCGATCCGATCCAGTATCAGGACCGATACCAGCGTAATTCACGTATCGGAATTTCCCGATCCAACCTGCGCAGATTTCCAATATCCATGAGCCATGTCTGCACTTTAACATTGTCTGCTGAAATGACTCCACAGGTGATTCCTGCCGGCCAGTCTGCTAGCTGGCTGCAAACTGTGGAATGGATTTTCTGAACGGAGGCGTGGCTCAGTGAGACACAGAGTTATGAGACACGCCTCCGCTCAGGAAATATATTCCGCAGTTTGCAGCCAGCTAGCAGGATGCACACTTTTATTGATAGTGTGTGTGTAAGATGTTTACACTTATTGCACTTTTCTTATATTTCAAGACTCAAATATTTGACATTTTGGGAATTTAATAAATATTGACATGACAATAAATTTGAAACCCTTACAGTTTATAATTTTTTGCGTATTTGTTTTCAGAATGGGATTCTTCCTGTTAACAGGATTTCCTTTTCTGACCTTATACTTACCTCTTGTTGCCTTTTGGGACATACATGCATACATACGTACATGTCATAATTGCCTGTTGAGAGGAGTTTTTTTCAGCTTCATATAAAATCAACAATAATGATAATAATAATATTAAAGCAAACACAGCTCGGGTATCGGAATAGTATCGGTATCGGCCGATATCCAAATTTATGTATCAGGATCGGATCGGAAGTGAAAAAATGTGGATCGGTGCATCCCTAAGTTGATTAATCAGTTCACTTGCTTAGTAAAGTGCAGAAGTACACAGAAAATCCAACAATAGTGCAAACAAGTTCAAAATCCAAAAACCAAAGCTCATGAAACACAAAGGAATGCTGGGACATTTGATCAGAGACACAAAGACAAACAGAAGGGAGGAAACACTGAGGCTGCGCTTCATCAGTCGTTCACTTGCCCTCGGGGGAATCCCCGCCGCCATCATAAGTGTGGACTTGGTGAGATGGACCCTCGGAGGGCTGAGGGAGCGAGTGAACAACGATGGTCACTCCGAGGTGGATATCACCCACAATGCATTGCAGTTTACGTCATTGCCGCTATAACGCCGACGGCTGCCAATGAGTAGACTCCAAGGGCAAGTGCGTTTTATTTAAATCCCCCGCTCCTCCCCCGCCCACTTTCCCTCCACGCTCCAAGTGGCCTCCGTGCGATGTATGCTGTTACGCCCTGCTCTCTAAATATCAGCATTAACCATTAAAACCATATCAGTCCACCACTAATACTGTACTAATGAAATATTTTAATATCAGTGTTTAATGATTCTGTAACAGGAAGTGTAAATATGACGTTTGTCTCTGCAGGAGAGCCTAAAGTTATTGGCTCAGACAAACCAGTTACAGTAACAGTCGGTGATAACAACATCCTGCCATGTCAACTGGAGCCTCCATTCGATGTGAGGAATCTAGCAGTGGAGTGGACACGTGATGGAGAATATGTGCATGTCTATAGAAGTATGAAGGATGATCCAGTTCTTCAGGACGAGAACTTCAGAGGTAGAACATCTGTCTTCCATGAAGAAATGATCAGAGGAAAGATTTCACTAAAACTGACCAACGTAACTGAACTGCATGCTGGAAGTTACACCTGCTTTGTTCAGGCACTGCAAAGTCAGGTCAGGAGAGGCTTCAATAACCTCACTGTTGGTGAGTACAGCTAACATATTACACATTCAAATGAAATAAGAGGAAATGTTCTATTAGTCACGTGTTAAAGATTTTGTATTAATTGTCCAACAGAGCCAGTGGAGAACAGGAACAAAGGAGGTCAGACTGATGATATCAGTAAGTAAATATCTTATTTGTCTCCTCATCAGCTGTCATCTCCTGTTGGTCTGAATGTTATCACATATTTTTCACACGTACATTATAACAAATAATGAACTCATTCATCATCTCAGACCACACTGATAGAGGACTACCGCCATGTTTCTACAGTAGTCCAGAACACATTTGGAAGTTTTATTCACGTGTTTGCAATCTGTAACTTCACCACTAGATGGCACTGAATCCTCCACAGCGGTCCTTTAAATAACCCTGGATCCTCGTATTTCTGGAGAATATTCTCACTGATAATACTGTTTGTTTACTGTTGTGCAATGAAAGAGATTCTAACCAACAGACAGTTTTGGTGGGATGGACTCCAAGTACACATTGAGACCATGAACAGGAGAAGTGGCTGTGGAAATATTGTTGATGGATGTTATCTTGGAACAGTGAAGAACAAATCTCAACATCTTTCCTCTGTTCTTTCAGATGGTGACACTGATTTGAGCACCGGTGCTATAATTGGCATTGCTATTGGTGTCATTGCTGTCATTGCCATTGTAGCAGTTGCTGTATTTGATGAAACGTAGAAAGATCAGTAATTCAATAATCTTTTCTCTCTCCATTTCCTCCATAAAAAGACAGTTTACAGTTTTTCAGTCAGTCTTCAAACAACAGTGAACAGTGAAACAGGTTTTTCTTGCTGTAATGGTTCCTCCTGTTATACTGGACATTAAAGATCTCTTCCTAAAGTACTTTCAATGGAAGTGATGAGGGGAACAATCTACAGTCCTCCTTACATGAAAACATGTTTTCAGAAGTGTATCTAAAGCTAATATCAGCTAATATGTGTTTATAACTCCATCATTTATTTAGAAATCATTTATTGGGGGTCTGCACCCTGCCTCTCATGTACAGTGTGTCTGAGCTTTCTCACTATCCTGCTGTCTGATTATGATGGTTGATCTGGGACAAGCTCCTTTACTTGTAGTTCCTCACTGTCAATAACAACAAGTGTCATCACTCCACTGCTGACTGACTCTGCTTGGGCTGATAAAATAATCTCCCTTTTGCATCCTATTCTCACTTTTCCTCTAAACTCAACCCAGAGCGCTCAAACACAGAAAATCACTGACTGATAACTTGTTTTGTGTTGTTGATATGTGTTCAGGAGGACAAGAGAGAGAATATCTTCCAGCACAGAGGGACAATGCTGAAGCAATCCTGTTGGAATAACGAAAGACAAATCCAAATATCTTTGATCAGGTACATCCAGTAAAACATCCAAGTTACTAAAAAAAAAAAGTGAAATAATAACTTTCACATTCTGAAAATATAATTTTATTAAACATTAATTGCATACTTTGAGTTTTTAGTAACTGGGACTATATTCCACCCTGTCTCATTCATCCATTTCATCCAGTTAAACACTGAACTCTCTGGTGTTCCTGTTTGTCTTTAACAATGTTCTGATGTCAAAATGTCAGAATGTGTTTTTCTAAAGGTTCATACAGTCAGTACAGACTGAAGATATGTGAGAGCTTTACATTTGTATTCACTGTAAACTGGATGATGATAGCAGGTACCTTCTCTTGTTTGACCTCATGGTGGCGCTGTGTATCAGTAAGGACCATCTACAAGTACTCAATGTGCAGTAAAATGTTCCCTGTCAGTGTTTTACTTTTATAAATGATATTGTTGACTTGATGTGACAGCTGTAGATGTTTAATGAGCTCATTTTAACTTCTTTATACACATTTGGGTAGTTTAATCTATATACAGCAATGCATCATATTCTATCAGATCATAACATAGTTTAACATAGTTGTCCTGTAAGGTTCTCACCTGTAAAAAGACAGAAACAGCCCATTTTAAAATTTTACATATACCTGAGTAAATGTACGATATGTAAGATATTACAGGATAAACATTAAATAGAGCTACGCTGAAACTTATCATTAAATATTATATATAAGTATTTATTTTTTACTCTGTAAATACTGTAAAAACTTGTAAATGACAAAAATATTGTTCAACTGTTTGTTGGTTGAATATATTCTGAAAGGTTTATGAATGATGTCAACCTGAGGTACGTGTGCAGGAACGTTTAAAAAAAAAACACTTTAAATCCAGAATTTCCAACAAAGTGATTTAAAAATGACAGAAGTTCTTTTTGATATTTGCTGCAAATGATTCCACTGGATGTCAGTAAATCCTTCACACTGGACCTTTAATAGTGTGTTTTTAGTGTGCCTCATGTTATCTAGCTTCTTTTTCTACTTCAACATCTATTTTAAAAAGCACTATACTATATATTTAA